TATATATCCACGCAGAACCAGTTATATCTGATGAAACAGTTTTTATAAACAGTATAAAATGATTTATAAAATAAATCATTTTTAATGCCACGACAATCACACTTAATGAATCTTAATGCCAGTTAAGGCATCGATTAAAAAAATTATTTAATGACTGCGGAAACCCTGTAATCACCAGCCCTCCACATGTTTGCACAGACTATTACCATAGTCTAGTACCAACCTTTGTCTTCTTTAAATTGTTTTCATCCGATTACCTGTATTATAAAGGTTTTATTATATTAAAGTAATGTCCCCCTATGACATACAAGCCTAGTATTAAATTTCAGTTTTGATCTGGTGATTTTATAGCACACCTACCATTGGCTAAAACTGGATTACAGGTCATTCAAGGCAAACTAAAGTCTTAGATGAGACCCGAGCCTCAGTTTAGCGCGTAACGTCGTACAATCAGATAGGAAGCAGCAGCAACGACTGCAATCCGTTTCTATTATTGATGTTTTATTATGAACATTACAATAAAAACTCTTCGTTTGCAAGTAAAATCCCTTATTTGATGGAACTTTTTTAAGTTTGAGGCCAAGTTGAGAGAAAAAGCAAGTAATACTTGTTGTCTTTTGTAAATGCTGTAGATTATTTGATTACTGTTTGGAGCACAAATCAAAAGCGAAACTAAATGTGATGGATTGGTATGAGATAATGTGACCTAAATAATATTTGATCTGTTTAACAGATTATTTCGACATCAGCGTAACCGATCAGCGGTATGTGCTGCCCATTTTTTAGGTCAACCATTAAAGCTGAATTGTTTTTGTTTTTTCCTCCATTTAACTGATAAAAATTTACAGTGATAAAAGTAACACAAGTCACAATTTAAACACATAAAAGAAGCATTTATAAAACAAATCATTAACAATGAGAAGCAAACAGGGGAAAAGTTATTTATGCCTTAATGTTATCTCCAGGCTGCTGAACGCAACTGAATCGATGATTGCGTGCACGTAACGAATGATACGATTCAAGCAAAAGATAACCTCGGCTCAAAATACATCAGCTGATGTACCAGTTCAAGCGAAAAAATGCCGCTTACTTCAAGGGCGATTAAATCACAGTTGCTAAACATGCTAAAGTTGAGACCTGCCACCCCCTCATTTTGGGCGGCTGTATTTTTGAATATCTTTGATATGGATAATGCGTCTAAGCAGCAAATTGGTCTCTTAACACAACTGATTGCAGATCATTAAAACAAGAGTGATTCTCACCTTGACTTCCTCCCATGCATCCCTCTCTTCCTTTAGAACCCTGCTGGTGTGAAGTGGGGTCTGGGGAACCTCCATTGATTGCTTTAGGACAAAAGAAACATCACCGCTAATGTTGGTTCAAAAACACAGATCAAAGGCTATGTTCACACTGCAGCCTGAAGTGACCCTAATCCAAATTATTTTTTGCCCATATTAGGGATGGGCGACAAGGCTAAGAAATATAATTTTCAATTTTTTTCAGTCATTTTGGACGGTTTTAAACACAGTATTAAAAAAAACTACCTATATATTCAGTACAAGCGCAAGAAAAAAAAAAAGAGGTTCATTTGCTGAAATATGCAATTTATCGAACAGTCAATAACTTGTGTTGATCTTCTGGGAAGTAGGTGGTTTGTAAGCAGCAGCTTATGAGAGCCCAGTTCACATTGATATAATGCAGTTAAACACATGTACGGCTGAAGAGATCGACTGGACCAAAGGACTGTAGTAGATGCAAAAAATCAAAGCATAGTTCAACTTTTCACAGAGCGCTTTTCGTGTTTTGACTCTGCAGATCACACACTTTTAGCACTTGAAGTAAACCAGGCTTCTCTACGGTGTAAATGGGCACCATGTCCATCCCTATAGCAATTCAACCATCTTGAAAAGAGTGAGTTTTTAAAGTCGTAGGGACGCGGTTCCAACCGTCGCAGTTCCGAATTCTCCCCAGAGGGAGGGAATAAAGTGATTGGTCGATTATCCAGAGGGCGGGATTGTTGTGGCGGAAGGTTTATAAGCATGTTTGATTGTGGCCGGTTTGTCTGAGACATCGTTGCTAACCAGTTAGCAACTTAGTGCTAG